ATTGGGATTGCTAATCTTGTTTGTGGCCTGTACGTCCTTGATTCTGCCAGTCTCCTACCTCCCAAGCTCGTTGCTCCTCCCATTTGTTTATCTGCAATTTCTCCAAATGTAGCCTTATGGCATTCTAGACTAGGTCATTTGTCTCTACCTGTTTTATCATCAATGAAAACGCACTTGAATTTATCCTCTGTTTCTGACCATTTACATTGCAATATTTGTCCCTTGGCAAAGCAAAAACGTTTACCATTTTTATTAAATCCAAAATTGTCTCCTAAGCCATTTGACCTCATTCACTGTGATATTTGGGGCCCTTTTAACCCCATTTCAGTTGATGGTTTTCGTTATTTTTTGACCCCTGTTGATGATCACACACGTTACACATAGGTCATATTTCTCAAACAAAAGTCTGATTTCTCATCTGTATTCAGTGATTTTTATACACTCGTTCTCAACCAGTTTCACATCTCCATCAAATCTGTTCGTTGCGATAATGCACCAGAATTTCACATTCCTTTTTTTTCTTCCAAGGGTATTAATCTTTTTCATTCTTATGTTGAGAGACCACAACAAAATTCTGTGGTTGTGCACAAACATCAGCATATCCTGAATGTTGCGCGTGCTCTTCATTTCCAGTCTCATGTTCCCCTTCCTTACTGGCAGGATTGTGTCCTAACATCAGTTTATCTAATCAACAGAACATCCTCTCCTCTTCTGTCCAACTCCACACCTTTCACTCTTCTTCACAACAAATCTCCTCAATACTCCCATTTGCCTGTGTTTGGTTGCCTCTGTTATGCCTCAACTCTTTGACGGTCACGTCATAAATTCTCTCCTCGTACTATACCTGTTGTGTTTCTTGGTTATCCTCCTGTTTTTAAAGGATACAAGCTTCTAGACATTCAGTCAAATCGTGTTTTTATTTCCAGAGATGTGATTTTTTTTAATCTGTTTTTCCATTTGCTTTTTCTCCCATTACATCAACTCCTTTAATTTCCATTCCTACTACTTCTCAACTCACCACCGTGGCTCACAATGGCAGACCTACTAGACACTCTCAACCTCCCAAATACCTTCTTGATTATGATTGCTCAACCTCAACAGCTCACCCAATGTCCAATTACCTATTCTATCATCGCCTTTCTTCCCCTCATATGGCTTTTGTCAATGCCTTATCTGCCCACTATGAACCTTCCAACTATTCCCAGGCTTCTCAACTCCCTGAGTGGTGTGATGCCATGCGAAGTGAACTCTCTGCCCTTGAGCAGAATAGGACATGGGACATTGTTTCCCTGCCTTCCGGAAAACACCCAATCAGTTGTAAGTGGATTTTTCGTGTGAAATATCATGTTGATGGTTCCTTAGAGAGGTATAAGGCCCGTCTTGTGGCACAGGGATTCACACAGCATGAAGGTATTGATTATTTCGATACTTTTTCTCCGGTAGTTAAGGTGACCATTGTTCGACTTCTCCTTGCTTTAGCTGCTGTTCATGGTTGGTTCCTCCATCAATTAGACGTTAATAACGCCTTCCTTCATGGGGATCTTAGTGAAGAAGTTTACATGGAATTACCTCCAGGATATTTTTGTAAGGGGGAGTCTCTTCCTCCCAATTTTGTTTGTAGGTTACGGAAATATTTGTATGGCCTAAAACAAGCCTCAAGACAATGGTTCCAGAAACTCTGTTCCACTTTGCTTTCTATGGGTTTTGTTCAGTCTACAAATGATCATTCTCTTTTTCTGAAGTTTTAGGGATCTGTTATGCTGGCCATTCTGATTTATGTAGATGATGTTATTGTGGCTTCTAATGATTCTACTGCAATTACAGGTTTCATCTCTTCTCTTGACAGTTGTTTTCGGTTGAAGGATCTTGGTCCACTTAAGTACTTCCTTAGTATTGAAGTAGCTCGTTGCTCCAAGGTTATTTTCCTCACTCAACAAAAATACATTCTAGACATCCTTCATGACACTGGTCTATCTGGTTGCAAACCTAAGTCCACTCCCATGGAGCCTAATTTGAAGCTATCACAACTTGATGGAGATTTAATGCAGGACCCCACTCCTTACAGGTGTCTCATTGGTAGACTGATATACCTCTCCTTCACACGACCAGATATTTCTTATGTTGTTAACAGATTAAGTCAGTTCCTCTCTACTCCAAGAGTTCCTCACTTACATGCTGCTCATCGCATCCTAGCTTACTTGAAGAATACTGTTGGACAAGGCATTTTTCTGTCTGCTGATTCTGTTCTCCAACTTAAGATATTCACTGATTCTGATTGGGCAAGCTGCCCTGATACCCGTCGTTCAGTGTCTGGCTTTTGTGCCTTTCTTGGTCACTCTCCTATTTCATGGAAGTCCAAGAAACAGTCTACTATCTCAAGATCTTCTGCAGAGGCTGAGTATAGGTCAATGGCTAATGGTACTTGTGAAGTTGCTTGGCTTTTGTCTTTGCTGTGTGACTTTCATATTAATCACTCTTCCCCTGCCCATCTCTACTGTGACAACACTGCTGCTCTACATATTGCTGCAAATCATGTTTTTCATGAACGGACGAAACATATAGAAATCGATTGTCATTTGGTTCGTGATCATATTTCTAGGGGTGTGCTACAAACATTTCCCATCACTTCTGCCAACCAGATTGCAGATCTGTTAACTAAGGCTCTTCACCCTACTCAGTTTCACTATCTAATTTCCAAGATGGGAGTGATGAATATTTACTCTCCATCTTGAGGGGGAGTTTTACAGATACAGTTTATTTTCCTTCCTTTTTTTTACTGCATTCACTTTATGTTTTTCTGTTATTTTAGCTGTGCACTTTTTGTTCCTCTTTTGGTTAGACTCCCGTATTTCTAGGGAGTTTGTTATTTTCACTTTCAGCTATATAGAGCACCACTGTACATAATGAAAAGACGAATCAATACAGAGAATGTTGCTCATCTTGTTCCCTTTGTTTTATCCGTTCTTTATTTGTAAAATGATGCACTTTTTGGGAATGGAATATAATCCGTTGCAATCTTTAGTGCTTTTCTTAAATTTTGCTTACAACAAATCTTTAGGTCTTTCTAGTGTGCCACTTTATGTGCGTGATTACTGCATTTGATTGCGGAAGGAAGAACTAAAAATCGGGGTTCTCTGTGCATACATGTGAACTTCGTTTGAAGAGAATGAATTGGAGTAATAAAACGTAAAGGAGTATGTACCCAAAAAAAAAAAGTAAAGGAGTTAGTTAAATTTGTTTGGGAAAATTAGGGGTGAATATGGATGCAATGAAAATGAGAAAAATTTGTAAACTTAATCTTATTAAAATCAAGATTAAACTCTTAAATTTGTCTATATGAAATTTCGCAACAGACATATATATTAATCCTTTCATAATGCATAACTTCATCATATTCCCTAAATAATCATAAATGTTGGTCATATTAATCTTTAGACATCGAACATATTAGTTCCTTAGTAATAACTAATATGGTCAACATTGGTGGTTCTTAGGGACCAATATAAGATTTTTCCCTTCTTAAGGACTAATTTAACCGTGATTAAATTTCTCAAGGAGAAATTAGAAATTTACTCTCAAATTATGAAAAATTTATTAATTTCAAATAAAAAATAATTATGACTGAATATGTAAATTTATAATTTTCTTTTCATTTTGTTCCCAACAAAGGCATAGCATGTCAAATATATATCCCAAGGATTCCAATCTGATTGAGGATGACGCGGCTTTACTCAAATGGTGTCTAATCATGACCATCGGCACACTTTGTCTCCTTCGCATGTGGCAAATAAGCGTTGTCCAAGGGCAACCCAAGTAATATTACTATCAAACTAACTGAAATACTGAACCGTGTGACAAATTGGGATTAAGACTGGCATGGTTCCCCATGAAAAAAGTAAATTAATGATACAGGGGAATTTTGGCTTAATCCTTCAAATTTGATGCTAAATTTTTTTTGATAGCGAATACATTAGTTTTTTAAAATATAATAACAATATCCTTTAAAAAAAAAGGAAAATTCTTATTACCAAAATTTTTCACTACCAACTTATTGCCTAATTAATTATCAGTGAATTAATATTTTCTCTCTATTCAAATTCTTTTTAAAATTTTCTCTGTTTGATCCAATGATGATTAGATGAGTAGTAACTAGTAAGTTAGTAGTGAAAAATTTTAGTAGTAAGAATATCCCTCCTTTAAAAATAAATGTTAACCATACTAAATGCTTGTTTGAGAGGCTTTTTTTTAACTTCTATTCTTCTTATAAACAGAAATTAGGTCAAACAAATTTTTTAAAAAAATTATAATAATTTTTTTTTATGATGAAGAAAAAAAGTCAAAAGGCAAAAATTTATAGGAAGAGTTTTTTTTTTTATTTATATCAACTTATTTTTAATTTGAGCTTTGAAGTGACTTTTAAGTTAATAATTTTATATAATCATAAAATAGTTTTAGTTTAAATTTTTTTTTTTAAAAACTAACTTTAACTTAAAAATAGATTTTAGCTTAAAAAAGAGATGTGACAAGCAGGTTCTAATTCTTTTAAGAACTAATGCGTTTAATATCTAAGGATTGGAATTTATAGTTTTTGAGAAGAAATTTTTGAATTCTGGACAAATTTAAGAATTCAATCTTTTCTAATTTTAGTAGAGGGATGTCCTTCATATATATTCCATAATCCATACCATGATTGATGCACCAAATGGTAGGTAATGGGTCAGTCCTTTTTAATGTGATTAAAGATGGGGAGTGGGTGTAGCCTCGCCCCCACACCACACCATGCAGTGATCATTCAAAACTCAATAAAGCAACCCAACATCACAGAGCTTTTCAGTATCCACTTAATATAGACTCTGGAAACTAAAAGCTAGAGAGAACTTATTCTCAACCCCACTGTCCTCCTCCATTAATCAGAACCAACTCTTTCTTTTCTTCAATCCTTAAGTGGTTAGCACTTAGCACCATCTCACACGCCTTCCAATTTCTGAGAGCTAGAAGACATGAAAGGAGCAAGAGGCAGGTTGCTTAGGAAATTGAAACTCATCCCAACAACCATAAACAACTTGAAACAAGGCTTAGTTCTTCAGCTCAACACCCCAGATGTAATTTGCATCCAGAAATGTTCAACTCCACCATTCTATGAAGATCACAAAGGAAACAACCTGGCTGAGGTAGAGACAGAACTTGCAGAAGACAAGTTAGAAGTAGAAGCTTCTAACTTGTCAGAGGCCAAGATGGAGCTTAATAGCACACCACAAGTGACATTGAGTTACCCATCTCTAACAGATTTTGAAGAGATAGATCCACCAGGAGGAAACCATCCAATCATTCTCTACACAACAAGCTTGAGAGGAATAAGAAAAACCTATCAGGACTGTAACACAATCCGTTTCTTGTTGAGAAGCTTTAAAATAATATACCAAGAAAGGGATGTGTCTCTGCACTTGGAATACAGAGAAGAGTTGTGGAAGATCTTGGGAGGCAAAGTGATCCCTCCAAAGCTTTTCATTAAGGGTAGGTACATTGGAGGAGCAGATGAAGTTGTTGGATTGCATGAGATGGGTTGGCTTGGGAAGCTTTTGGAAGGGATACCAACTTACTCAACTGATTGCATTTGCACTGGCTGCGCCAACATGCGGTTCTCTATTTGCTCTAACTGTTGTGGCAGTTGCAAAGTCTTCACAAGCAATTGGGACAACAATGATGGTTTGTTCATCAGATGTCCTGAGTGCAACGAGAATGGGCTTGTCAAATGCCCCATTTGCTGCTAGCTAGAAATTGATAGGACTGAAACCTAGTTTTTATATCCTTCTTCTTGTACTGTTCTTTCATCTTTTTCTTGGTTCGCATGTAACGTAGTGCTTTATCTATCTGATAGAGTCCTTAGAATGGACATTGTACTCAACTCGTTTAGATGTAAATAGTGGTCAATATCTATGCATAAAGACAGACTCTCGAGAAGTAAGAACGATCACATCAACCCAAAACTTTAAGATATTGAATAAGGTTACATTAATTATTTTATATTTTTCTAACACACTTGATAAGCGTCACTTCGACCCAAGATTTTAAGGCTTTGAGTGATGCTAAATTAATTATTTTATATCTCTATAACACACTCTCTCACATAAGAGCCATTTAGGCTTAAAGCGTGAATACGACACAAGCTTATTATTGGTCTGCCTTATGTTGGACAAATTCACGTTTTTTTTTTTGCCTTGTACTTTTCTTAATACAAAAAAACCATTTTAACTCAAAACTTTAAAAATATTAGGTGAGATTAAATTAATTATTTTATATCTCTCTTAACTTATCCTTAGCAATATAGGACGTTTAACCTTAGGCAAAAACACATTCTCCAAGGACTCTTTTGAAATACACCAACCCACAAAGTTTTGACATTCCTGGCCTCGTTCAGATGAAAAATGAAAGAACCAATAATGTTCATCTAATTAAGGAGGATCAAAATCCAAGCAAGAAAATTCGGTGGGGTATATAATTAGCAGGCTTGTGATCACAGTCGCATGCAGTTGAATCTTCTTAGATTGTAAAAAGCAACTAATTGGTATGAAAAAGGTTATTAAAAGTAGTGCGGTGGCTTAGAACAAAGTGTCCATGATTAATTGCACAAACAAACAATATAGTGGGTTTTGAAGGGATGGCAAATACATTATGTCTTCAGTTTCTGCATACAGCCTAATGAGTTATTAGTAACTAATGCTCAAGTCCACAAGAATGAGCAAAATGCCCAAATAAACTACGTAAAGATAGAGTAGTACTTCTTGAGATATATAGTTTCACATTAGTTGTATATGCAACTAACGTGGAGTTTATAAGACCTTGGGCACTTCCATCCTTTGAGCTAGCTTTTAGGGTGGTGACCTCAAGATTCTTTACATGGTATCAGAGTCTTGTCGTCCCCCACTTTCTCTTGTGGAGTTTCTTAGCACAGGTAAGCTGGGCTTGTTGCATTGTCCACACTTCAAGCCCAATAGGCTCTCGTGTGAGGGGGCGTGTTGAGATATATAGTCTCATATTGGTTGTATGTGCAACTAATATGGTCTTTATAAGACCTTAAACACTCCCACCCTTTGAGCTAGCTTTTGGGATTGTGATCTCAAAGTTCTTTACAGTATTAAATGTTGGGGCCAGGGGTCAAACAGGGGAGAGTAACTTCCACGCATCATATTCCCACTTGGATGAGTAATGTGCTAGGCCTATCAAACTGCCCAGCTGCCTGGTCCAAAACAGAATAAATACCTTATGATAGCACATTTTCAAAAGAAGTTGTGTTTGCAAAAGGTGATAGTCGATGTGTTAACTAGCTAAAGGTAATCGAACTAATTATGTCAATGATGCTAGCTGTATAAACCGAGTGTTCCTCATATCTCATATTCGTAAGAAAAATGAAGTTAATTATTGCATACTTTTTTTTGCAGACATAGTGACACATAAAGCCAATTTTTTCTTTCTTTTTTTTGGCATCCCACACATAAAGCCATATGATTTACCTTTTTTTTTAATATTCTATTAATTTATCGCTTTGCGACTAGTACAATTCAAAATGAATACAGCGTTAAAACTTTAAATTCTTTTCCAAAAATAACACTGAGTTGGATCTAGAGTTAAGGCTTTCACCCTATTTTAATTTTTGTAGGCTAACTGAGCTAAAAAAAAAAAGTGAAATTTATCATTATGATTGATTTTACTTTATCATTTGGTTGATTTCACTTTATCATAATGTAAATAAGTAAAAGTGAAATTAACTTTAACCGTACTTTTTCGTAAAAGGTAGGTTGTTATTTCGTAATAGAAGAAAAAGTGGATCTCCTGTAATTTTATGTCATTCCCATAAATTTCTGTCAAATTTTGTAGACATCGCTTGTTCGTTTATAGTACTGGATTTAATGCTTTAGTCTAATCTTCGTCTTAAAAGAAGAACGATATTGTACTACCAGATAATCAGAAGTAAAAACAAAAACTTAGAGGTCCATTCGTTCTCGGTAAAAACTAAGCAAGGAGAATTTTTTTTATAATTAGGAATCGTAAGTTTTAGGAATATGTTAAAAAAATAATTTTTTTTAGAATATTGTTAAAATATTACTTGATAGGCTAAAATATTAGCAAAAAGTTGTGTAAAATGTGTCCATGATATGAGAATTCAAGAATGTCACCCTGGTGGTATTCTTGAATAACATTTTGGTTCAAAAAGCTTCAAAAAAAAAAAATTTACTGGGAATCTGATTTTTTTGAAAAAAAAATTACAATTATATGAAATGTGAGTAAATAGAATTACCAATATCAATTTCCTGGGAATACAAAAAAATTTCTAATACCAAATGCTCCCTAAGGTAAAAAAAATAATATTAATTTGGTTTGCGTACATGGTTAAATCGGATGAAAGTAATAAGTGAAAACCAATCATTCTCGGTTTGTGTCGTGGGTAAACCGATTCGAAAAATATCCAACCCATCTCAAACCCATATGTTTTATTATTTTTATTTTTAAACTTTTATGAATTTTTTTTTTAAATATAAATATATGTATAACCTAATAATCCAACCCAAACAACTCTAGATTTGATCAAGTTAGTCTGATTGAAGTTGACCAAAGTTTTTTTTCTTTCTAAAAATTGAATCAAATCATACTAGTTTAATTGATTCTAACTTTGATGATTTTTTTTTACCCGAACCCTTGTATGTGACATGCAATCACCCCATGTCCCCACCTCTCTTATTCTTACTAAACAACGCAGCATATCACAAAATTTGGATCCATAAAGGCCATAGAAACAAGACTACAAACAGGGATAAAGTCCACAAAAATCACCTCCATTAACTAGAGTGAGTTCATCACGAGTGACCCTATCATAAAGAGAGTTAAGGTGGACTCTTCGTGTCCTAATCAGACGAAAAATAAAATAAGGGGTCTAATGAAGCAAAAACTTGTTAAACATATATTAAACCAAATATTACATTTAGTTTCCTTTACCATTACAATTTACAACCCCATTCAGTTAAATGAGTTTTAAATTAAAGGAATACTTTATACCTGAAAAAATTACTTAAATTTCCCATATTGCATATTGTTGATGTAGAATTGTTGGGGAAGGCCAAGTGTCCCAAAGAATATTTGAATTCAGGACTTGTGTGATTAAGATTATTGATATCATTCGACAGCTGAAGCACTATTGAGTATTGAGTATTGAGAATAATAGTTAAGTCAACGTCCAATGTGGAGAGAAGGACACTCAAGTTGAGCCCAGTGAACTTAGGTAGAGAATCTAAAATGAATGATAAATTGTTTAGGGTGCAAATTCTTTAGTTCAATTTTCAAATCACTAATTCTTTTTCAGTAAACGAAAAAAGTCTTCGAATTTGTGTTAAGAAAGATTAAAAAATAATAATTTAACCAAATTCAAATCTGTAACATAAAAACCGAACTGTAATTCACATAATAGGTAACTCTACCTCTGTTGAAAATATGCATAAAATCCTGATGATTCTGAATGGCAGGTTCATGAGATGAGTATTGAAGCTAATAGGTCAACTCCTTCGGATTAGAAAGTAACGGGCAACCATGTTATCTTCTTGTTCTCTGTTTGGATTATTCTACTAGGAATCATGAAGGGTACTACGGAAGATAAAGGGTTATCTATATTTGTAAACTAATAGAAAAATAGAAACTTGGAATCAGAGTGCAAAAAACAGATATAACATGGGTATAAAGAGTCTGTGAAAAGTTGTTTGCCATTAACGAGTAGAGTCTTTGGAAAAGTACATGTCAGATGCCAAAAGTTTGCGCTCAATTGAAAAGGAAATTACAGAGCCATTTACAGGATACCCTTCCCAAGAAAGATTATAGGTAAAAGAAGGTAAGAGCCATGCCAAACTACACACATTTACAAGCTCAGCTCACTCGTTACTTAAACGATCCTTCATTTGTTAAATTCACTTTAAAATCATTAAAACACCAATGTTAAAAATGGGAAGACTAGTTAGTAACCCCACTTTCCTCAATTTGCAGTACGATTAGATAGAAGCCTCAGATACTGCCAGAGCAAGGGTCTCTGGTGCAGCCATGGATGTTTCGACCACTGAAGCTTCCAAATAAGACTGTAACAGTTGGGTGTAGTGAAACTCAATTTGTAGTCTATGATGAAGCAGTGTTGAAGATATGAGACCTTTCTTGGCATCTGTTTGCAATTCTCTGATAGGGATTGCGGCCAAGAAACTTTTAATGTACTCTTTGCAAGCTTCCTTCCCTCTGCACACAACCTCCTCTTCCTCTTCACTCTTCAAATGTTCTTCTGGCTTTGCAACAGAATCGACCTCCTTACCATTGACTTCTTGGGTCTGCCTGTTATTATGCTCTAATACTTCTGCAACAGTTTGATGGTCACTGGTTGCTTTATCATCTGATGACTGAACATCTTGCATTTTGTATATTACGGTTTTGCTGTCAAATTTCAAGATATATGCTTGATTGCATCCTTCATAAAGCCTCTCCCCCAAAGTGTCAATGATGTAGTAACATTCAGATTCAACTTTAAGGATGAAAAAATGGTCATTCCAACTAACAATATAAACTTGGGGTTCACCATTGCTAGGGCATTCATGTCCAGCACGACTAATCTCATCCCAAATGTTATCAAAAGACATGGCACCATGCAGAAAATCAAATCTCCCTTCATCCATCCCTTCTGGATGAAAAAAACCAATAAAGGACTTCCCAGGAACCACGGAAAGTGGACGTATTCTTGCTTGAATAACTGTTTCCAGATCAAAATGCTTGTCTGGGAACCGCTCTCTATAGGTTTCATTATCACATAGGTTCCTCCATTCTGAGGAACCCTCCCGAATCAGACTATCAAACTGGGACTTTATGGGCATAAAATCATGATAGTTTTGGAACCAATCTGCAATTACAGCAACGAGAGCTGTGCATGCACTCTCACCTGCTGCACGTTCACTGCGTTGATCAATTGAGGCAAAGAAGACCTGTGTCTGAAGCTTCATGTGACCATCACGGCTCATGAATTCTTTATGCTCCCAACTCCCTACGGCAAAATAGTCATCCCCAAATTCAGAAACTGATGTTCGATTTGCAGATGAATCATCCTCGGTTTTGTACAACTGGCAGACAATGTTAAACATTAGTACTGATAAACAAATCAATAACAGTGTGCCACATAAGTTGCAGAAATATTCAGAAGTTAATGTCACGAATTCCTTAGTAAATATATGGCTTATATAGACCGATGGAGATTTATAAATTACATCTTTGTAAGTTTACTAAAACTGTCAAAAGAGTAAAACAACAGTAAAGAGTTGCAAGTGAAACTTGGGTTGATATGCCGAATAAAAAGAAAACAACAAAGAAATAATTCTTACCCTTAGAGAAAGTGATTCATCAGAGCTAAGTTGCCGGCGATCAAAATCTATGTCGTCACCGCCTTCTTCAGCATAGGCCTTCTTTAACAATGGCTCTCCCTTATTAGCTTTAGGAGATCTGAAACTCAACTTCCTCTTCCTCCATGGTAGTATGCTGCGCTTTGAACTTTGTAATAAATAAGGCTCAGAGGAAGACACAGTTGAATCCTCCATCAGTGAACACCCAACATCTGGCTTGCGATGACTGTAGTAAATCCAGTCTTCATCATCACAGTTCACCCTTGTGTTGGAATAAAAAGATCCTGCCAGTTTTCCATAACTGAATGACTTCATAAAACTGGAATTCTCCTTTCCCTCTTCTGAATCTCCTTCCTCAAAATCATCAAGTGAGTCGGAGTCCAAAGGGTAATTGTATTCACCATCCTCACTCCTAGAGGACTTACCCTCACTTTCCTCTCCCTTTCGGCATGCCTTTTTTGCTTTCCTTAAGGATACATACCTTGTCAAAATCTTTACTTTCATAAGACCAGCTTTGATTGCAGAAAGCTCTTCTTTTTCTGTCAAGGTAGTTTCTCCTGACTGGGGTGGGGATGATGACACGGGCATTATGGATCTCTGAACTAGCTCCATGCTTTCTTGAGCAGCTCTTAGCTCAACCAAGCTAATTGATATCTGCACACAATCAAGAGCTTTTTGACAAGTACAAAGACAATAATTGGAAGCTAGAATGTGAACAACCATGCTTGCAAATTGCACCAGCCTATACAAAGAGATACCTAATTGTATGGCATGAAGAGATAAAACAAAAAACACTCGGGCAAAAAAAAAAACAGAGAAGCGACTTACACAAAGTGAAGGAGAAGTCTTCAAAGAAGTCCCAGGTAGTGTGAGTGGAATGTCTAAATCAAAATCCTTTTGATTAATTGAAGATGCAAATTCAGCAATATTCAATAACGCCGTTCCAACAACAGGAACCTTGCTCTTTGGCCTTTGATTCAATCCCTGCAGTAGAGAATGAATCCAAATTATGTTTAGACAAATAAGAATGAATCCACAAAATGCCGTTGGTATTTGGGAAACAACCCATCAAACTGAAACAAAATATTTCAAATAAGCCAATTAACCCATGAAAAAAATATTAAAAAAAGAGAGAGGATATAATTACAAAAATCACAATTACAAAAGAGTCAACTACTGCACAAAAGTTCCTACCAGAGGGGAAATTTCAAAAAACAATTTCAAGAAAATCTCCGATATTCTGCCAGAAAACAATAAGTCGACAGCGATTGAATCAGTAACACATACAGCACCTATTCAATATATGACCTTAATTTTGTCCATAAAGAGGATGATGGGTAAGGAAAAAGAAAACATGACAAATTCCCAAACGCATACAGAGACACATGTAAATCAGTAACCAATAATTACAAAGAAAAAGAAACAGGTGAAAGAGAACGACGGTGACAACTGACAACCCAATAGAAAGCATCATCCCGGTCATAGAAAAATTTCAAGAGTCACCCATGCTAAGAAAACAAAAACCCTTTAACAAGAATCCTTCCGATTTGATCAAATAGTAATTGACGAAATATAAGTAACAGACCAATTATTTTTAACGAGGAACAACAATTTACCAATCAAAATTAAAAAAAAAAAAATTAATTCCTTTTAATAATTGAATAAATTCTCAAAACATATTCCATAGAAAAAGCGGGGAAAAGGGTGAAAGGGAAGAGAAAGAAAGGGAGAGAGAGAGAGAGAGACTTACATTGAAGAGAGTGAAAGCGATCTCCCACGTGTGAAATACATTGTCCTTGTAAGCGTTGAAATTGCAAACGCTGTGAAACTCCTCGTCCCAGTGAACGACGGCGCCGTCACCGTCAACCTCGATGTCTGCTTCCTTAGTGAAGTTTCTGGCGACCGGAGTCCGTCGCAAAGAGCCAAGAGTCAACTTGGGACCCTTCCACTTAATCTCAACCGTCAATCTGGAATCTTTCTGTACAGAGTCCCGCAGCAGATCGCAGCCCTGGAGGCTCTTCACAACAAGCCTCACCTCGTATTTCCTGGGCCGCCACCTCCTCATCATATTAACAACCATTTCTTGTTCTTCTTTTTTCGCGTGTTCTCTTAAACCTTTTTGTTATTATCCTTAGGAAGCGAGAACAGAATCAGCAGAGCACGTGCGCTGTTGGTGGAAACAAATAAAACAGCAGCGTTAAGGTTAGTTTACTTTATTTATTTAAGGATAAGGGGAACTTAAAGCGGAGGTTAGGCTGTACCGGAATCTCCGAGGATAAGACAATCTCTTCGGATCTTGGAAATTCGGAGAATGCAAGAAAGATGGGACTTAGTCTATCAAAATATGCTCTGCGCGAAAAATTGGGAGAGAATATGCCGTTACTTCGAGTTATTAGAGAGAGAGAGAGAGAAACAAATAGATGAATCTCTCTTTTAAACAAATTAACTGTGGGGTTAAACCAAGTGCGTTTAGACTTTAGAGGGTGGTTACTGGTTACTTGGTCAGTTGGTAGTTGGGGAGAGATTACATGGTAGGGTTAATTAAGTCTTTGCATAAACCAGCAGCGGTTTCATAGCAAAGTGGTTACTCTACTCTACCCCGCTTCTTTCTCTCTTCTTCTTTTTAATTTTTTTTTTTTTCCCTTGTAACAAAACTATCCCTCTGGGTCATACACTAGTGTTAGATATCTTCTTTCTTGTTTTATCCAACTATATCCATTTTATCGATGTGCGGCGATTCTTCGAATCTTGAAATGAATTTAATTCTACCCTCTTTTTATGAAACATATTAAAGATAGTATTATCCAAAAAATAATAAAATAATATTTTATGTTTTGTATTATTGCATTAGAAATTTTTAATCTTCTTAATGAAATAACATAATAATTTTATTATTATTTAACACTATTAAATCTTTCTAAATTTTTTTCATATACTAAAATTTTATTTTCTTTAAATTAGATTTTCTAAAATAAATAAATAACTATTTATTCCGTGAAAATTTGTCATTAACCTATTAAATTACCTATGAATAAGTGTTTTTTACTTTTTTATCATCACCATTTTGTTCTCCTTTCAAAAATTCTTTATCATTTTCTCCCCTTCTCAAATTATATATCAATTTATTTTTTTTAAATTATATTAATTTGCTCTTATTTAATTAAAGTTTTACTGACACTAATACTAAATTAAATGACTTACTCAAGTCAATGATTCATTTACTCAATAAATGTTGCTAAAACTTTCGTCAAGCAAGGGTAAATTGATATATAATTTGAAAAAAGAGACCGAGTGATGTATAAATTAAAAATAGGGATAAAGTGATAAAGAAAAATAAAAGGAGGACAAAATGATTAATCAACCATTTTTTTCCTCTTTCAAAAATTTAATTTGTTTTAAATGTCATTATTTTATTTAAGAAAATTTTATAAATGGTAAATTAATTTATTTAGAAAAACATTAATACTCAATGCGGTTAATTCATATGTGTCATAAAAGTTTACTTATTAATATTATATTTGATTGGTGGGTTAATTACTCTAATATCAATAAAAATATATAACTAAGTTTTACTATGTTACGTATGGTTGATTGTTTCTTTTCTTTTTCTGTAATCTAAGGGGGTTAACAACAACACCCCAAATAGATCAATTCAATAAAATCGTTCTGAAATTACAAGACAAAGACAAATCAGTCCAATACAAAGGTCAAATATCAGGAGGAGGGTTTAAAAAAGCACAAAAATTATTATCAACAGATGATTGTTTCTTTTATATATAAATATAATGGTTGCTCATATCCGTTGAGTATGGTTCAATTTTACTATGTTATCCCACGATAAATGAATTGTCAAAAGGATAAGGATTAGAATTCTGAACAGAATTTTTAAAGTTAGGGTAATTGTCACACCACTTAATTCGAGATTAGTCTTGTATATATGTGAGCTTCTTTCCCATCATGATCATTAAGATATCCAGGAGATGTGACTTGTCCAAAAAATAATAATTTTGATTTTTGAGTCATTAAATTAAAAGTAAAATAAGACCAATCCAGAGATTATGTTACTGTGAGTCTGTGACAATTGATGCTTAATTTCCTTGAAATTGGATTGTTGGAGAATAGGAAAGTTGTGGAGATGAGGTCTGGATTTTAATAGATGTAGAGATTGTACTCATGTTTATGTATTTTTCAGTCTATATTGAAGGTATATTTCCCTAAATGATGTGAATAGAATTATAAATGTCCTTTTTGCTTCAAATTTCACAATAACACCTTTTTTTCTCTTGTGACAGACGAGGCATATCCTATGTGAAGGAGCATAGAAATTAGGCTAAATTATAAAAAAAAAAATTAAAAAAAAATTTTAGAAGATACTCCTAATTGCAGGTAAAATAAGGAAATACTATTGATGAGATTGTTCAGGTTTTGTTTACCAATTCTTAATCTTTAAAAAAAAAAAAAATTCATTGGAGAACACCGCTTTCTGTGTATAAGATATTAATTTCATACTTAAATAATGTGGGAATACTTTGGAAACAAAAAAAAAATCCTATTTAATTTTATTAATTCATGTACTAATTTATTATTTCATAAATTCTATTTTTTTTTAAATATTACATTAATTTGGTTCTTGAATGATATTTTTTTATTTTTTTAGAAATTGTATATGATGACATCATAGTATGTTGGCTTGCCCAAATGCAATTGATGGGCATATATATATATATATATATATATATATATATATATATATATATATATATATATATATATATATATATATATATGTTAACGCTTCAATCCTAATAGCTATAAGACTATTGGCGTAAGAACGTGTTCATTATCCATGTTTCAATCCCTAAAAGAGCCCTTGGCGTGAGAGGTTGTTTATGACATATGTCTTGTGGTCTTTGTTCTTTCTCCTGGATGCATGCTAGGCGCCCTAGTTGCTTCTTTCGTCTTTCTAGTGTGAAGCTTTACCTCTTATTTAATTTGTTAGCTTTGTTTCACAACTGTATTCATTATTCACATCTCCTTGTTCCCTTTCTATGTCTATTCATTGGAGTCTTGTTAATGAATGTTGTGTTACATAACGAAGTAAATTGAAGATAAAAAATAAATTGGTGTTCGCTCTTTTTTTTTTAAGAGCATTGGAGAAAAAGTAATTTGATATTCTTAATTCACAAATTAGGCATTTGTTTTGTCCTTATCTTATTCAGTAAGTTAACTGTAGATATCTTTTGTATCGCTTATATTAAATCATCCTATAATAAACATATGTCAAATTATCCTAAAATATTTATCAATATTTGAAATTTATTATATGAAAACCAATTTAATGTCACTAATATTATGAAGACTAAATTGACGTTAAGAGAATAGTTTGAGATTTATTTTTCTTGATGAATGCCCACTACTATATATATGGTTTTTAACTAGTATAAGGCTATAAGCCAACCTCATGAAATGCTGACCACAAATTGAACATAGTAATTAATCCACCACGCGCGACTATTCTTTCAACTATGAGTGGTGCCATGAACTTGCATAGTTTCCATATGTATAGATCAACCACTAATATAAGTCAGCGTTTGAAATGATAAAAATAAAAATAAATGCACCAATATTTGTTTGATATTCTATTTTTTCTTGTGGAGGGTGACATTTGACTTCAAATGCAGCTCGGGTCCCCTCGGGGCCGCGGCATATATATATGTGGATGACTTTGCTTCCAAAGTTGCGTTCAGTAATCTACAATATGCCACTAGCTCAATTTCCTTTGTAAAGGCATCATCAATTATACTTGTATTCGTCTCCTGCGGGACAAGATAGCTTGACTTTACGTGTTTGCTTCCGATGTTTGGTACATAGTATAGGATAAGGTCTGATAGTATAAGACCTGATAGTATAAGGCCTGATTGTATAAGACCTGATTGAATTTTAATACTATCCAGCGTTTGGCACGGTATCGTATAAAATAATATATTGTATAAGATAATATCATCTAGTATTTAGTAATGCACTATATAATACTATATATGATAAAAATAAATATTTTTAATAAAAATATCCTTTAATAAAGAATTTATATAATTCTTCAAAAAATGTCATATGATATTAATTTTTATAAAATTTATTGATCAGTGTGTTCAAAATATAAATTAATTTTTATAAAAATAAAAATATTTAATATTTTAAAAATTAATATTTATTTTAATAGATTAATATTAAAATAATATATTAATTTTTGAGAATTACATTGGTCAATGATATTAATACATCCATCTCTTATCAGGCCTTATCCCTCACCCTTAGGCCGGATTAAGTTATACATCATTTTGATGTATTAAGGGATTATGCTGTATAAGCTTATATTATACGATGGTCACACCAAACAGCTGAAAATGTCATAACGTATAGTATAAGCTTATACTATCATGCCTTATACGTCACACCAAACAGGCCCTTAAGATGAACTTTTGTAACGAGAAGAATAAGGAAAAATCAAATAAAAATCGAAGAATAACTTATTGTTAGTTAATAGCCTTCAAAAGTCTATCTCTTTCTTTTACCTAACTCCACTTTCAAATTTCAATGCAAAATTTGTAAGGTTTTTTGTTGCCATAAGTTATTTGTACCAAATCGAGGCCTTGAGTAATTTTTCTTATATGATGTCATGTGTTTACAAAATAATTCAACTTTTGATAAACTAATTATTTTTAAACTGATAAAATCATAAAGTTTACTGATATAAAACTCTTTACTGAATTGATGAAAAAATTTAAAATGCTTCGAATTTATATATACTTTTTACTTTAATTAGTTATATTTTAATTTTACCTTATTATTCACTAAAATAACGAAAATAAAATAAACATGCCACAAAGTTAAGGCTCCAAACTTTTTAGTAAACAAAATCCGATGTATGATTCCGTTTAATTATTCCATTTATTTTGGTCGTAGTATGTTCAAATCTAGAGCGTCCAATTATTTTTTTCGTTATTTTTTCTTGCAATAGTTTAAGTTATCACTTGAGCCCTAAACCAAATATTGCTATAAGTCCCGAATCAAAATTAATTCCTTAGCAAATTTAAAAAGTTGAAACTTGTGGGTATATTCAGAGATTCACTTGTCTCTAAGAGATAATTAAGGTTGGTATGCTAAAATAAAAATAAAAATTAAGCCATTCATGTCATGTTAGATTTTTGAAAATAACCTAAATATAAAAAGAAAAATAATTGCCAAATAATAGAATAGACTTAAGCTTTATATTAAAAAAATGTTCATTTGTTCTAAAGTTACTTCAGACAACTTTGTCTAATGTTCACCGAAACGATGTTGTTTGATGCAGAAATTATGGTGTATTTGTAATTTTGATTTATTTCAGGGTTATAATAATCTTTATCATTCTAACTTTTCAACCTAAAGCGACGTCATTTCAGTGAACATTAGACAGAATTGCCTAAAGTAACATTAGATACTTTTTCCCATAAAAAAAAGTTAAACTTATTAAGTTGAAGTCTAACTTC